CAATGCAGCCAATAAACTATTCTGTGTCTAACATATACATACATACATATTTTTTATTGACTTTGGTACTTTTTTTCATTTTTGAATTAACTGAAGTATACTTTATAATATGAATTAAAAAGATAAAATTATTAAAACGTCATATTGAATTGTTTTTGTATTCTTTGTTTCAGGAAAACCTTTTGAAACAATGCAGCCAATAAACTATTCTGTGTCTAACATCATCTGCTCCTTGGTCTACGGCAGCAGATTTGAATACAGCGACCCAGAGTTTACATCCATGGTGGATCGGATAAACAAAAACATCCAAGTTATTTTTTCTCCTTCCATTCAGGTATCAGAACAAACTTTAACCATCCGCTGACCCACTGCCCTTTCTTTATGAACTTTATGAAACATTAACTCGTCATTTACATTTCTCTACTTTCTCTCCTGCACATTTAAAAGGTTTACAACATCTTTCCATGGCTCTTCAAATGGATGCCAAGTAAGAAGCAGTTTCATAAAATGTTTGAGAGCAATAAGARGCAGAATCTCACCTTCTTCCGCAAACTGAAAGAGACGCTGAACCCAGAGATGTGCAGAGGATTTGTGGACGCTTTCATGGTCCGCAAGCAGAACCTGGAGGTTTGTGTAACTGTTTGAAAGGATTTAATAATTTATCAATCAAAGGTTTGTTGAATCAATTCCCCTTCCTGCAAAACTGATTTGGAGTAAAAATTAGTTATTTAAAAGCATTAAATAATTTAACTAAAAGAGTTGAAAATCAAACTGATTTTGATTAGTTTTCGTCCTTATTTTAAAGAAACAGTAATTTAGCTTGAGAATTTGCATTTCAATGAATCTGCAGAATGCATAACGCTGAAAGATTTTTGCTAAGAGCTGATGAAAACTCAACAAAACCTTTGTTCAAAACCTTTGAAAAATATTCAGTTGAAGGTGAAAGAACTTAATTTAGCACAAACATTAGCCTGACCCTTGCCTTCCTACGCAGCTCCGCTCAATTCTAGTTTCCCTTCTCTGCTCCATCGGGGACTTCTCCCATTGACAAGGATTTCGCTGGCAGATTTTTAGCCGGGCCAATCAGAGAACAGAACGTCAATTTTCTGCGCAGTGGCTGCTTGTAGTTTATTTTATCTGGGCCAATCAGCAAACAGAAGGCGGAGTTTTGAACAACGTCAATTTTCTGCGCAGTGTCTGCTAGTTATTTTAGCATGCGGCAGTGGAGGAAGTGAATGAAGCCAGTCCGTGTTCATAAGGCTTCAAATTAAATTAAATTTTGTCTGACAAAGCAGCAGCTCTCATTTACAGTCATCTCGTTCGGCTCGGTATATTTCTCCACTCAGTAGGGTTGTTTACAGCACACGTGATTTCCAGTTAGCTTCTTAGCTTAGCCTCCGTCACAGTGACAACACACACATGCTTCAGCAGAGGCCACGCCTCCTGCAAGAATCACTTCTCTATGCAACAAGTCCAGACCCTTGTACGAARCAAAGTGAAGGACAGGGGTCTGGTTTTAACCAGGCTAACAAAACATAGGAATTTAATGGAAAAGTAACTAAAACCAGGCAAAAATTAGCTACAAGAATCTAAAAGTTAGAGGAAAATAGCAGACAGCACCACACCCAAAAATCACAATAAGTGTTTACAGACCTGCTGCCTGCACAATCATTTACTATTCATTGTAATTACTAATCTGAAMAACCATTTGCACTACTACTCATTTACATTATTACCAGTGGTGGGCACCAGCCCGCTAAAGCGCAAATCTGCTAACTGCGGACCTAAATATTTCCTTTGCATTTTAGCGGTTTTAGTAATTTTTATAATTCATAAGCAGATTTGTGCTTTCTAAAATTAAAATGCARTACYGCTAATTACTAATTATCTACCAGTCATCATTATSTTGAACAGCAGAAGGTATGACTGTCAATGAATCACAACACATGTGATCTATCCAACAGCACCCMTCCCMGRTAAACACACTTATTGTGAAGGTATACATCCTGCTGACTGTTGCTTTGGGTCACGGTTCTGATTTCCCACAATGCTTTGTGTCTGCTTACGTAGCAGGAAGGC